TCCTCCCTCCCTCCCTTCCACTTTCTCTTTAAAAATCAGTGGAAAAAATATCCTCACCCCTCAGGTGAGAATGAAGAGTAATAATAATAAAATTAAAATAAAAATACCCATTCATATACTTTCCTGTTATCTTTATTCTCTCACAGAATTCTACTTGAGAAAGGCTCCCAACTACTAAAGAAAATTAAGTATAGCTAATAAGCCAGTAGTGAAGATAGAACAGAGTACTAAAAAATGCTCAATCACAAGACAAAAGAACAAGTTATAAAGGTTAGATGAGAAAAATAGAAAACAAAAGTCAGTTAAACGTAAATTGTTCTATACAATGTGATTACAAAGCAGAGATTGTCATACTGGTTAGAAAAGTAAATCAATTATGTGCTGTTTTAAGAGACACTTTATCAATAATGATGAAGGTAGGTTAAAACTAAAAGGATGGAAGGTGATGTGCCATGCTGCAGTAGATAAGAAAGCTGGAATAGCTGTGTTCATACCAGAAAACTAGGTGTCAGGACAAGGGCTCTTACTAGTGATAAAGAGGGACATTTTGTAATAAGAATATTCACCAAGATGATGTAACAATACCAAACTTGCATGCAACTGTCATAACAACCTCAAAATGCATGAGGCAGAAATTCTCAGCACTAAAAGGAGAAATAGACCTACTATTTTTGCTGGAGATTACCTAATTGTTGGAGCAAATGGAGAGTCAGGATATACAAAGTTTCAGCTGCACTGTTGAACAGCTTTGCCTAATTGGTCTTTTCAGAGTACTCTAACAACAATAGAATTCACATTATTTTGAACTTTGTACATGGAATATTCAGTGAAATAGACAGAGATGGACCACAAAGTAAATCTCAATAAATTTTGAAAGATTAAAATAATAAAGACTATATTACCCTGACGCCAACAGAATTAAATTAGAATCAGTAACTTCTAAGTAGACCCATGGGTCAAAGAGGAAATCAGAGGAGAAATTAGAAAATATTTTGAACCTAATGAAAATGAAAGCAACATGTTAAATTTTGTGGAATGTAGCTAAAGCAATGCTTAAAGAGAAATTACAGCTCTAAAAGCTTATGTTAGAATAAAAGAAAGTTGTGTGATCATCTCAGTATTTGCAGAAAAAGCATTTGACAGAATTCAACACTGATTCATGATTAAAGAAAAAACAAAAGCTCTTAGTGAATTAGAATAGCAGGTTATTTCGTCACTTTGACCAAATGCCTTTTCTGAACTACCTGTAGCTCACATATTCAGTGGTGGAGAACTGAGCCCTTTCCCTTGAATGATGGAAACCAGGCAAGGAATGTTCACTTTCATCCCTTCTACTCAGCATTGTAGTGTGGGTTCTAGCCAGTGTAGTAGGCAAGAAGAAAAAATTAAAAACACAGATTGGAAAGAACTAACATTCTCTATTCATAGGCACAGTGATCGTGTTCAGAAACAATCTCAAGGAGTTTACCAAAAACACTATAAGAATTAGTGAGTGAATTGAGCACAATCTCTGCATATAAAAATATCAACATATAAAAGTCATTTGTACTTCTATATAATATCAATGAATAATTGCAAAATGAAATTAAAAAATCACTTCCCTTTATAGTAGCATCTAAAAACAAAATATTTAGGAATAAATTTAACAAAATATGTGCAAGATCTGTCCACTCAAAATTATTAAACGTGGAGGGAAATGAAAGAAGACTTAAACAGAGACATAGCATATCTTAATGTATCAGAAGATTCAGTATTATGGAGATGTTGGTTCTCCCCTAACTGATCTGTAGATTCAGTATAATCTCAGTTAAAATCCTAGCAGCATTTTTTGGTATAAAATCTCAAGGTGATTCTAAAGTTTATATGGAAATGCAAAGAACAAAGTTGACTGAATTACACTGCCTGATTTCAAGATTTACTATAAATGTGAAAAAAAAAAAATCAAGACAGCATGATACTGGTGTGAGAACAGCCTGACAGAATAGGAATTCCAGAAATAGTCTCTCACTTATATGGTCAGGGAGTGGGAGTGAGGGAGGGCAGCAGTGGAAGCCCACTCGCCATCTCTTTACAAGAAGCATAATCTTCATAGTTTTTACTAACAGGTGCATTTTAGGACAAATTTTATGAAGAGTTATTTTATGTTGCTAAATCAACTATAAGCTTAATTGCTACAATCTGGGTAGATGCATATTTGTGTTACAGTTTAACTCACTAACTGATTTAATAGACTAGCCAAAAACAGTTTCCAACACTTCCATTTATTTCAAATGATCAATCTCTGTTGTTTCTGAAATTGTATGTACTGAAATAAAATGTTTATATGATATTATTTAAATTTATTTATACTTAATTCCTGGAAAATAGAGGATAAAATGCTAGAACTTGTCCTTTGCCTATTTTTTAAATAGAGATGCATAATTTATAGTGCCTCAGTTCATGAACAATTAGTTTGTTTTTGAAAATTAAAAGACATTTTCTGAGTTAATTCACATTTTATTTTAAATAATAAAGGTCATTTCTAAGTGATAGCCTTACTGTGTACCAAGGTAGCATTTGATAATTTAAAACAAAGAAATCAACTTTATGACTGTGAAGTTATAAGGGGGGCATTATAAATAGCTTTGGTATAAAGAACATGTGCATAAAAAGACATGGGCACATTTAATCATTGAAAATTGCTTGTCAGGACAGCCATGGAAATGTCTTCTGTAATAGTTTTTCTCGCATCTATTTTAGACTTATGTGTGTGTTACTATATTTATCTTTATCTAATCAGCCCTTGCTGTGAGGTTTGGTTATTTTATTACAAGCAGCTGTGCAAAGGTTCTTTTAAAAACTACATTCTTTTGTAATGCTGCCATCATTCATATATTACACATTTAGGCAGCAAATTAAAAGCAAGTAAACTGTAGAACTAGATGAAATACATGATGTCAGTATATTTCATGATACCTTTGTGGAAAAATGACCCTTTCAGGACAATTTAATATGAAGGTGGCCCAGTGGTTGGAGTGTCATCCCGTACACCAAAAGGCGGCAGGTTCGATCCCAAGTCGGGGTGCATCTGGGAGGCAACCATTGAAGTTTCGCTCTCACATCTTCCTCTCTTTCCCTTCCTCTAAAAATTAATAAGCATATATCCTCGGGTGAAGATTAAAATCAAATGGGGTTAATATTTTTTCAGTCATAACAAAAGATAGAGTCAGTGATGTGGATTATCACTCTTACGTGTTTTCTGAACATGAAACAACTTGTGTTCGTTTAACTCTGACTGTATTTAGTATTCTGGGGGTTAAAAGCATGACATCATTTAATTAGCTTGCTCTGATGCTGAGAAATATGTATGTATTAGTGTTATACATTTAGTGCATTTATAAGACAGTCAGAAGCCTAAAATTCTAAATCTGTGTTGAAAATGGGACCTTTGGGATTTGTAAACTGTTTTATAAATCTAAGCTTAAATCTTTGTACCTTTTTTGTAACCATGTGGAAATGCTGTAGACATCAGATTCAGTTGACCTTTGAGTTTGTGCCGTATACCAGGTCCTGGGATAGGCATTGTGCCTTGGTCTCAAATTTCAGCATCAAGCCTGAAAGGTAGATTACTCCCAGATTACAGATGTGGAAAGTGAGTCTTTGAACCTCCTCCAGGGTTATGTAGCTGATTAAGCAAGAAGAATACAAAGAGGCCAACGCCCAGACACATCGTAATTAAGATGCCAAAAATTCAAGATTAAGACAGTATTTAAAGGCAGCAAGAGAAAAGCAATATGTTACCTACAAAGGAGGTCCCATAAGGCTGTCAGCTGACTTCTCATCAGAAACTCTACAGGCCAGAAGGGAATGGCATGAAGTGTTCAAGGTAATGCAAAACAAGGATCTGAAACCAAGACTACTCTATCCAGCAAGGCTATTATTCAAAACAGATGGTGAAATAAAGAGCTTCCCAGACAAAAAAGGCTAAAGGAGTTTATCACCACCAAACCAGCACTGGAAATGCAGGAAATGTTAAAGGGACTGCAGTAATTTGAAGTAGAGACACAGAGAAACATAGGCATACAGGATTAAAATAGCAATAGATAAGTATCTGTCAATAATAACCTTAAATGTAAGTGGCTGAAATGTTCCAATAAAAAGACGTAGTGT